TGGTGGGTATAAAGAGGGAAAAAAAAGAGAGTAAACTAGTCATTTAACACAGAATCACTAGATGGAAGGGGTTGTTACAACTTTTTCTTGTAATGCTACTATGTAAACCAATTAGAATATGTGCGTGGGTTCATAACGTTCCCTTACCCTATAGAGGAATACTCATAAAAAAAAAAATAGAAGAATATTAAAAACACTGGTGTCAAGTTATCAATCTGTTAAGGTATATCGCTTTGTAGTATTTTAGTCAGCCTTCAACGAAGTAAATCATTAAAACATTACTTTGGTACGTAAATTTGTTTTCATATTCATAAAGTGGTAAACTTTTGAGATCCCGACACCTCTGAAAACCCTCTAATTGGAAGTTGGTGGGGTTCGATGGATCGTAATAAAAAGAAAAACTCAATCACCCCCATTGCAAAACGGTATCTTCCGATAGAAAAAGAAAACAAAAAACAAGTTAAAGATAAGAGGAAAATAGCGCCAATGATATCAGGACAGCCCCTCATTTATTTAAACTCACCTTGCCATACTTTCTTTTCATATATATACTATGAAAAGAAGAGAACTGTATAAACTTTGTATTATTCTTCTTCAGATCTTAGAGTATTTCATATGTAACCATTTGGTCAACAAAAGAAATATCACAGAATGGCAGTTTTGTGTTTGTTCATGATAATGTGTATTTGGATTTTCTGGGGGAAAAGAGTAAAACAAGGTATGAGTAATATATATATATATATATATATATATATATATATACTGCGTAAAGTGTCCATGTTTGTATCTAGCAGGTAACAGAGTACATAAAATAGGCATTGAGGGAAACACACAGAAAAAAAAAAAGAATTTTGAAGGTATTAGAAGAATAGTAAAAAGTAGAAATAGAGAGAGAGAGAGAGGTCAAATCAATGAAAAAAAAAAAAAAATGCAGTTCCTTTCCTTGAACTTCATAAGAAAGGAGCATTACAAGCCTGTTTCTACTCCTCTTTTTCAAATTATTTAAAACAAACAAATTTATGTAGTGAGTTATTTAAAAATAAAAATAAAAATATACTTACATTTGAGTTATACATTACAATTCCCATGATTCTTTTCATTACTCGCATTCAAAGAGGTTTATTGGTCTAAAATTCCGTCGCATTGGTCATGTCGTTATTGCTAACAGAGAGAGGTCTCTATCAATTAGAGAAAAAGGAGAAGGAGAATAATTTTGGACATTCACGGTGTCATCTACCTTTATTTACGCATCATCACTACTTTTCTACAGAAATATGCAGAGAGAGAAGATACACACAGAATGACGTTTGTGCATTTGAAGAGATGTACGTTTGGCCTGATCATTACCACTGCAGTAGTCTCAAAAAAAAGAGAAAAAAAAAAGAACTCCTATCCTAGAGTATATATATATATATATATATATATATATATATATATATACTGTATGTGTGTATTAGGATATTCCCCCCCCCCTTTTCCCCCTTTCTTTTCTCCCACTATCTAAAGGAGAGCAAATACAAAAAGGGGGTATAATAATAATAATATGTACGCAATACTTCCTTACAGTGAGAAAAGAGAGAAAAGTAGGAATGAGAAAGAGACAAAAAATAAAATAAAATAAACTCACAGCAGCAGTAGCAGTTACTAGGTACACAAAAAGCCTTTCAAGGCTATTTGCATTTTTTTTTTTTTTTCGTTTCTCCCCATCCCCTTTTTTTTGTTTCTTTCTCCCTTCACTCCGTTCAACGCAGAAAAAAAGAATATTAACATTTTTAAATACGACAAATAATGAATATTGAGTATATTTTCATCTTACTCTACTTTCACCCTACTGCTGGGCTAATCACGTGTTTTTTATTTTCCTTTTCATTTCTTTTCCAAGCAACAAAAAGCTGTATCAGACTCTCTACACTCAGAGTGAAAACGTAATACAGCAATATAAATAAGAGAATGCAAAAAAAAAGAGAAAAAAAGAAAAGAAAAGAAAAGAAAAAAAGAAGAAAAAAGAGGAAAAAGAGAATGGTGGCAGATGCCACAGTAGTAATAGCTCTACAAGCACATCACTCAACTGTGAGGAGAAACGTTCACTTCCGAAAACCAACTTTCCAATACTTCTTCTTTTCTTTTTTCTTTTAATATACTGATGAATCTATTACACTACTATATATAATGTCTCATCTCTCCTTACTTTTGGAGTATTTTTTTTTTTTCCTACTTTCTCTTTCATTTATATTTCCGTTTTTTTTTTTTTTTCTTCCGTTCAACTTTATCTACTAAAGTGGTGAGAAAAAAAAAAACTTTTTTTTTAAAAAAAATGAAGAGGTATATCCAAAAAACAAGCATCCACATACACACACACACACACATATATATATATATATATATATATAAACAAAAAAAGAGAGAATAAAATAATTAAAAAAACTATCTGATAGGCTTCTTTCTTTTTTTTTTTCTTTGTTTTTAATCGGGCTTACTTCTATACTATACTATATCGCTATTATTTCCCCTCCTCCTCACTATATGTATTTTCTCTCTTCTCTCTTCTCTTCTCTTCTCTCTTCTCAGATCCCTATATTATTGTTAGTAAGAGACCTGCGAGACTCTAATCGCATACTGCAGTTGTTCCTCCTCCGTCATCTCCGCCACCGGCTTTGACTGCGGCACTTGATCCTCCTGCAGCTGCGCTCGGAGGAGAACGTAAAAGTTTTTCTGCAGCGACTCCCGATCCGCCTGCGGCCGCAATCCAAACAGCGGCTTCATCCCCAGCGCTGCACAGATGCCGTTGCAGTTGTGCCGCTGCACAAACCGCTCAATTCCCTCACGGCCCATGTTGCCAAGCCCAAGACCGCGGCCGTCCTCCGAGTGGATCTGCGGATCCGTTAAGAAGTCCTGCACGCCCTGCAGATCACACACCAACATGGATCCACCACTCTCAACCAGTGTGAAATGCGAAAAGGCCTCGGCGGCCTCAAACATATATGTACGTTGACTTATTTGAGAAGGAGTGGTGTAGTGTTTATCATCTGCATATGCCTCACCATAGTTGCTATTGTATTTGGTGAAGTGTCCACGTAATTTGGGTTCCATTACAAACATCACCTCACCTGTATCTTTGGTGCGATAAGAGAAGAAGCCATGTTTGGTTTTCTTATACTCCTCTGGGATATCACGAGCACGAATGAGAACCACTCGACACTGTAGAAATGATATACGAGGCCGATCCGAACCATTAAAAGGGGCTTGATTAAAATTATTCGCAAACTCTTCACAGAGACATTGTGCCTCGGCTTCACTGAAGTAATCCTTCTCCACCACATCACTGATATTCCGTTGAAAGAATTTAGCAATACATGCGGTGTGATTACCTTCCTCATCAATTTCATCTACTTCATAACATACACGCATGCCTCCTTTTCCAAGTGCTGCGAGTGGTGTGGGGATCTCCACATTACACTCCGTCGTTACCCAACTCTTACTGCGTAGACTGTAGACATAACAGACGGCTCCACATAAACATTTTTTCCCTTTTCGTGCGGCCTCTACATCTTGTGAGGGCCTTCGTGTGGGTAAACCATTGGCAGCTGGTGGTGCTGGTGGTGGTGGTTGTGGAGGGTTAAAGTCTGTTGCTCCCATTCTTCTCTAATAAGCACACTATCTCTCTCTTTCTATCTTCTACACTATAATAATAATAATAAT